GGGAGCTTCGCATTCTTTCTTGTTGTTGAGGGAGCCGTCATAATTGAGGTACAACTCCAGGCTCCACCCCGAACCCCATACGATTTCCCCTTTGCTTTTTTCATAAAAACGAACTCGACCTTTGGACATCTGTCGCCGAGGTCCGATCGTTGATTCAATTCAACAACTTCCTTCTTTCCATAGTGAAACATTTTTTTCTTACCTCAAAAGCTGTAACAACAGTATGCTGCATGCCATTAGTTTATCATAGAAGTTGTTACAGAATGAAACGCTGAAACTCTACCACACTTAACTAGTGAAATAAGGAATTTGTCGTTGCAAGCCAGAGTTTTTTTAACCCTACAAAAGTATTAATCTTCATGGCATCCAACTAGCTTTCATAGCTTTCAAAATAGTAAATAATCGAGCTCAATTTTTCGATTTTGGCTGTTTAAATTCGAAAGTTGTTCATTTTCTGACCGAACCGTTTTTAAAAACTGGATCGTTAGCTAGTATTTATATTGGAAAGAGATCTTTACATAGAGTACTATCTGTCAAAACTCGAGTTTTTTGATTTTCTTATTGACTCATGTCCTCCTGTATCAAACTGTACATACATGGGGGCATTTGAAATGTATATAATATCTTTGCAGCGTTTGCGTATGCCTTGGCGAGCTTTTCTTCTTGGTTGCACTAGCTTAACTTGTGATGGTTAACATTGCGTCCTAGGAATTATTTATAGCAATGAATTTTTCTTTATAAATCCAGCCCAACTACCGAAATAAGTGCAGCTGTTTTTTTTTACCTTTAAAGTGCCTTTACAAAAATAACCTTCTTCCTACACACTTCCATTTCGGTTCTCAGATTTCTGAAATCTGGATTTGAACTCTTCTTTGTAATGTGAAACATCTGTCGTCTGCCTAGAAACCTTTTTTGTTCATTTAATTCTCCTGTTTTGCAATCCACTAGGCATAATCTTCATTGTTTTTCTTCCTAAATATCTCGGAACCAGATTAGCTGAGAACACATAATTCAGTCATTTGCCGTTGACGTCATGAATCAATTTTCAAAAAATCTTAGTGCAGCGAGCGCCGATGATGGGAATACAATCTGTGCAGTATAACGCTTAGCTTGTCCCTGATATTTGGTGGAGATAAAATATGGAATCCGTTACCGCCGCAGAATTTCTGAATGGTCCCCACCCGTCCGTGGATCGATCGCTGTTTAACAAGCGTGTCTGATGAAGTATGTGCTTTGTCTGCAATGTTTCTCGGCGGGGGCGGAAATGTGGGAGGGATCGCCGTCGAAACTTCTGCTTCGCCGCAGTAATTTCAGCACTGATGTAAAGAGTGAAACGGAGACGATCCTTTGAGATGTGGGAAGTTACTCGCATCAGGTTTAAGCTCCCCGTGGTGCTATGTAAAGTATATATCAATGCAATTTTAGCTGGCGTAATTTTTGCCGTTTAAGTAGAAGAGTGTAAAACGAATTTAGAGTAAAAACAGCCCTAGTCCTATTCTTACATCTATCTTCCTTTTTCCTTCTACAACTTCGGTTGAGACGCAGAATTTGAGATATATAATGATAACAACAACGATAAATGGAATAAACTTGCATTTTTTAATAGAATATGCGTAGCAAGTTATGAAATCTTTTCTGACTATCACTTTCTCACTTTTGTCAGGTCTTCTTGCAAAGTTAGAATAATATCTCTTTTGACATCTACTTTTACTTACTTTGTTGCATGTCTACAGAAGTTCGAACCTTTTTTTTGTGGCAGTTTTGAACAAATTTGCTTGTTTACTTTTTCATTTTTTAGTTGAGGTAGAGTGTAAACGAACAAATTTGAATTGGTTTCGACAACTTTGTTTCATGTGAGAAAGTCACATGACGTTATCCAAATTATTGTGAGTAATCTGGCAATTCGCCCACATCAAAGCTAAGCCGAAAATTGGTTGCTTAACTGTGTTTGTGCGTTCAATGGATCAATTACATATGTGAAGCAAGGTTTTCCTTAGGCTGTTCCTAAATGGCAAGGAAATCATCACTTAAATTGCATGTTGCACTTTTTCTCTGAAGTGGATGCAATCTCTTCTTTCTAGGTTCATATTGAAGTAGTTGTATCGATGCGTAGGTCACTTACCTTTCTACAGTAACTTAAGTTTTTTCCCTAATGTTTTCTGTGTCATTAATTTTCTCTTAGACGTGTGATCCTCAATATTTTGTTCTGAATTGAGTGATTCTTTTTTGTGAATTTGAATTCCTTAGACTTTTTCCAACTTTAAATTGCGAACTCAATGACGGTATTAACATTTGTAAAGTTCTCTTAACTTATGGACTTGTTTCTAGAAACTGGAACACATTGAAGCATTTCTCTCTGTCTTTCTGTATTCCTGATTTTTCAGGTAACCACAAACTTCAAGAAAGTTGAGGCCGATTCGTTCAAGTGGAAGCAGAAGTATGAGGAAGCGTCTAGGTGAGTGTTTATGTATCGCTTATAAGCTCTCCCCAGTGCATCCATCCATTTCAGGAATGTACTTGTACTGACGATGGCAAAGAAGGAATTGGAGGAGAACGCCATGCTGCAGCAAAAAAAACTCATTCAACTCGAGCAACTTTGCCGAGCTTTGAGCTCTCGGCAAACAAGTTCTGTCGCTGACTCTGCCACGCCCGGCCAAGACACGCCTACTTCCCCAGACCAAGCAACGTCCTCGTCGTCATGATCCATGGATCTCTTGTACTTCAGTGTTTTTTATTTCCACTTTTTT